ACCTGTAGGATTCAAAGCCTGAGCACTCTTCACAAGATGACAACAGGCTCCAGATGCATCTTTTTCTTGCTACATTTTGTGCCAGTATGAGGGATTTTTTTCTTTACTATTTGGGAGAAAAGTAGCCTTAAGTATCGTAACACAGAAAGGAAGGTAGCAGATATATGAAAAGAATTGCCTCCATTTGGGTAATGGTAGCATTTAGTCCTTGGAGAAGGCAATGGCACCCCACTCCAGTACTCTTGCCTGGAAAATCCCATGGACAGAGGAGCCTGGCGGGCTGCAGTTTATAGGGTCGCTAAGAGTCGGACATGACTGAGCGCCTTCACTTTCACTTTTCACTTTCAAGCATTGGAGAAGGAAATGGCAACCCACTCCAGTGTTCTTGCCTAGAGAATCCCAGGGACAGGGGAGCCTGGTGGGCTGCCGTCTATGGGGTCACACAGAGTCGGACAAGACTGAAGTGACTTAGCAGCAGCAGCAGCAGCAGCATTTAGTTCTTCCGTTTTTAGGACTTGGTAGATTTTTTTCTTATGCACAAGGCAAATCACAGTTGTGATCAGTATCATGGCCCTTTGGGCCAAAGAAAGATCAAAAGTTAATGCATGGCTCAATTTTAAAAAATGGGTAAGATGTATGACCTGAATTTCTCTAGTCAAGCCTTCGACCCTAATATGGATTCTTCCTGGACTTGAATTTTTATTTACATAATTTTTCAATGTTACAACATACTTTCAAAAAGCTAAGCTGCCTTAAATCCCCCTTTCCACACACTAACTATTCTCACACTAACTCTTCAACTAAGCCAAGAGATGAAAGCCAGAACTGAGAATTCTCTACAACATGGCACTCTGGACATCAGGCTATGAACAACAGAAACCCTCAGCTTCTGTTTCAACACAGGAATAGGCAGATACATTATAGCTCATTGACTTCCTCACAGCTATAATGTGCTCTTGCCCATCCTTATATGTGAGACCACAGAGTCCTAGCAGACAATATACAACTGATTGTGCAAAACAGCACAGCACAGGCAGAGTCCCTTCTCAGCGTCTAAAGAGGTGGCACTGAACTGACCAGCTGCGATGAAGAGGTATCTCACCGATCTCTGCCACCCAAGCAAGATCATGCAGATAATCAACCCCCTGGGTGATGGAAAAGCACATATCAGAGTGAAATGAAAGTGTAGGCTGTGTGGCCTTCAGGTCTGCAGCTTAAATAAGAAGGAAGAGAGTGGGGTTGTTCCCAAAGCTGACAGTCAAAGGTATCTCTGGCCCCTGTGTAGTCCTCCTTTGCTCACTGGACTCCATTCGCTCCAGCCACCAAGGCTGTTCCTCTACTCAAAAATGCCAAGAATCCACTGTCCCAGAACTGGCTCCCTCTGCAAATGCCTTTTCTTCCTTTCTCCAAGAGTGATCTGTTTGTATCTCCTAAGAGAGGTCTTTCCTATCTGCTTCTTGTGGGTTTCCTTTAGGGTACTTCTTATGACTAGCAGTTTGTTTTTAGTTGTTCTTAACTGTGTGTGTGTGTGTGTGTGTGTGTGTGTGTGTGGTGCAGGTCTCCCCAATTAGAATATACGCTCCATAAGAGTAAGGAGGAGTCCATTTTGTTCATTTAAATCTGTGCTCGAAATACAAAGGTACTAGTAAAAGAGATGATAATTCTTCATGAATAAACAAATGCGCTATTCCACCAACTAGAAGCATCCTCTGCCATTTCAAAATGATCCTGTGTCCAAAACTTAAAGACATTGATGGAATCAGCAGAATTGACAAGAGCAATAACAGGAATAATCTTGACAGACTGAATAGCCATCTGGCTCCACACCTGCCACAGAATTTCTCTAATCTTTATGACCATAACCAGGTGGGGATCATGGTCCTCATAACTAAGAAAACAGCAATGCAAGAGGATCAACAGACTTGATCAAGGCTACATAGTTGGGGTTACGGGGAGCAGAGCTGGATCTTGAAATGTGGCCTGACTCCAAAGCCCACGCCCTCATACCAGGCCACACAGGCACTAGTAGTTAACGTCATCTCTAAGATGCACCAAAGTGCCTAGAACAGCCCGAAGGTGAAGAGGGCTGTGAAGGCTGCAGTGAGCAAGAATCAGCCCTGAGTTCAGGGAGCTGAACGCACCCAGGAGAGTCAGGGCCGGCCAGCTGGAGCTGACTGCAGGCACATGGACCCACAAAGCCATCTCTGATGTTGAAAACTACCAAGAAAAAGAAAGAAAATGAGAAGAAATAAGGGGAAAAGGAGACCAGGAACTCAAGTTTGGGTGTTTATGACAATTATCTCTTTCTTACAGGAGTGAAATTCTAGTAATCACTACCATTCATTAAGGATCGATCATGTGTCAGGTTCTGTAGGTTTGACATTTCACCATGAAATCATTTATGACTTAAGAATATAGGAGAATGAGTTTCCAAGAACTGAATTCTCCCATGCAGGGACACACAGCTGGCGAGACTATCAGGATGTACTCACGGTTTCTTGATCAGAAGCGTCTGCTTTAGTGTACAAGGCTGCCTCACCCAGCCTGTGTGCCTGCTTCTCTGTACACTGGCTGAGATGAGGAAATACCTCCAAATTCAACCAAGATGAAGGAGAGGCAAAATTATAGAAAAATCAACTTCGGGGGCAAAGATGACTTTTTTAAAGAAATAGTAACACAAAAACTCTAAAATAAAGAACGTCTTTTTCTTGTAACTCCAATCTATTGACATCTTATTGGCATTGATTCAGCAAGTAAATATTGGGCAATTTCTACTGTATTAATGGCTGATCTTTAATACTCGTGTGACTAAGCTGGACTGAATAGTATGGCAAATAACAGTCTTTTAAGTAAAGAACAGGGAGCACCAAACACCACTTGCTAAATCAACATTAGGTGTTTTGTTGCTCATAAGTAATGACATCAGGAGACAATAATTTCCTGCTTTTGTAATTGCTATGCATCTGCATAATCACACTTCTATCCACTGTAATGATATGCTGGGAACAGTCATGCACATTACTAGATTGCCTGATAATTTATAATATATTCAGAGACCAATGGGGCATCCTGTTTGGACAGATATGACAACCTTTTATGTAACAGTCAATGAAAAGAGACATTTAATAAAATGCCAAAATTTTTTAAGCCAATATGCATTTTTCAATAAACATTTATTTGAACATGTCTACGCCTCCAAAATGGTGAAGTTACTGCAATATTTATCACAGATTAATACTGTCACCCATGTAACAATTTCATAAATATTTAAGATGTAGACTGTAGAATTCCAGAAATATTAATAAAATTAAAGACAATAAGTTATAACAGGTCTTGACCATTCAACTGGGATGCTGGGAAAGATTGAAGGCAGGAGGAGAAGGAGACAACAGAGGATGAGATGGTTGGATGACATCACCAACTGCATGGACATGAGTGAGTAAGTTCCGGGAGCTGGTGATGGACAGGGAATCCTGGCGTGCTGCAGTCTGTGGGGTTGCAAAGAGTCGGACACGACCGAGCAACTGAACTGAACTGACCATTCAACACTATCCCTCTTCTTTAAACCCTTTTGTCCCATAGCTTCCCTAGAACAACATTCCTCCCTCTCAATTGCTGATTTTGTCCCTTTTGCGGCAGCTCTTCCTCTTCCTAATTGTGGAAGGTCTTCAAAGTTTGTGTTAAGTCTTTCTTCTCCCTCATTCTACATTCACTCCAAAAGAACACCAACAACATGGCTTATTTATCATCTATGTGTCTATGGCTCCCAAATTACTATCTCCAAACTCCACCTTTCCTTATGAATCCCAAATCTGTAAGACACACTGTCCACTTGATCTTTCGTCTTGGGAACTGCCACATGTATAACACTTCTATTCCTTTGCCTTTTCCTCACCCTCCCCTAACCGTGTGTCCCTAACTAATATCTTCTGTCTCAAATGATGTCATCATCCAATGGACTGAGCAAGTAAAGCCCTGGACATAATTTTTGACCCTCCTCCTTTCACTCACCTCCATAGCTAGTTTATCCTTATTATTTGACTTATTTAGTGCCATTTATTTCACTTTGCAGGAATCTCTGAAGCCCATTCTCATCACTCCTCCAGGCTGTGGTCACCCATCCTATAGTCTATTACTATCATAAGTCCCTAAACAGTCCATATATGTCTGCAATGGCCTCCCTAAAATCTTTCCTCAACATGGTGGCCACAATGATCTTACCAAAATGAAAACCTGATCATATTACCTCTCTGTCTTATCAGAATCCTTAGGTACCTTCCTATCACTCTCAGGAAAGAGCCTACAGTCCTAGATAGGGCCCACATGGTCTTGTGACAAGGTCTGGTTCCCCCCCATCTCACGTCATGCTCCACTGACTCTCAGGGTCTCACCATATCACCATCTATTAGGCCTGCAGAAATCAGGTTCCATCCTGTCAAGGGGCTTTTTACAGTAAACTGTCCTGCCTTCCTAGAAAATGCTTCCCATCTCTCATAGTATATTCAATACTTAATTTTGAGTCAATAGTTATGCCTCAGCTCAAGAGTTATTTCCTCAGGAAAGTCCTTCCTAACTATGCCAAATCCCCGAGTTGGGCTCTCTTATACAGGGCCTGTCACAGTTTTAATTTCACACTTGCCTATGTCATTATTCAATTATGATCTGTCTTCTACCCTAGACTAAAAGTTCAACAACCCAAATGTCTGCTTTTGTTCACAACTGTAAACCTAGGACCTAACACTATTCCTAGTACACAAGAGATTCTCAGTAAATATCTTTGAATCAAAAATAAAAAAGTCTCAAATTCAGGATTATTATTACTGAAAACAAAAACTAAGATGATCGTTAGCATATTGGTGTCTAAAGAGATGTATGAAGAGAGATTGTACAGAGACCAGTTGACAACAGCTCAAAAGGAAAAGTGAAATTGAACAGCACAACTTCAAGATTCCTCTAAAACAGACTCTTAAAACATAAACTTACACAAGTTGCATGCTTACCCACTGTCTGTGAACAGGAACTCCAAATGGGTCATAAAAACCTCCCAACGGGAGACGCTGTAGCGCTGGGCCAGAGAAAGAGCGATGCTGTAGACATTTTCCTCCAGCGTCCTTCACAAATGTGCATCAACCACAGGGAAGGGAAAGAAGAGAAACACATGACCTTAATCAGCAGAGAAAGCATTCGTTAGGACTGCTCTCCAGCTAAAGGGGACGCAGCCAGTGCAGTCCCTCCTAAGACAGTTCACAGTAATTCAGGAGAAGCACACCCAAGAGGTTTCAATGCTCCTGCTCTTTGTGGTGCAGGGCAACCGACCCAGGGATCATCTAGATCAATGGGCCTCAAACAAGGGCGACTGGGCACCCCTCAGGAAACACCTGACAATGTTGTCTGGAGACATTTTTTATTGTCATGGTGAGCGAGGAAAAGGAGAAAGAGGCTGGCATCTAGTGGGCAGAGGTCAGGGAGGCCACTGACCAACCTACAATGCACACAGCAGCCTTCCTGTAACAAAGAATGACCCAGTCCAAAACGTACTGAGATCAAAAAATTATGGTCTAGATACCAGAGCCTACAGTGAAAAAGGAATACAAAGAAATGGATCCCTGACCCACAGGTTAATCTCTGAGAAAATCACAGTTAGTCACTCAATAAATTCGCATTTTTTACACTGGGCCAGCTATTGTGCCAGGTGCTTAAGACATCAAAACAACAAGATATTTCTTGACAAACTCACAGCCTAATGGAGTGTGTGAGGCACGAACCAGGCATCAAACAGAACAGGGGAATGTTAAAAGACTACAAAATACTGTGAGGATACAGATAAAAGAGTGAACAGGGATTAACTAAGCAGAGGTGGTAAATAGGGAGAAGAAGAGACAAATGGGCTTTCGATAGAAGGGGTGTCACAACCATGAATGCACAGGGTCCTCAGGTGTGCTGAAGGACCTATACTTTATCCTACAGGCAATGGAGACTCAACGGTTCAAACCAGGGAATGGTGTCATCAGATTTGAGAATCTCTACATATGTAAACAATTCTGGTCCAGAGCACCCACATAAAGGCCATTTTGGAGAGACAGTCACAAGACCCCAACTTTCCTGAAGTAAAGGAAACATGAGGATGGAATTCTTCATTGGAAGGATGGTGGACAAAAACCACAGAAATGGGAATAAAATACCTATTACCATCAAGTAATACTGCTAAAACTACATTTAGCCTCACTAAGGAAACTGATATTTGTAAGTTGGATCATCGAGTAGCTGGCAAATGATTTCCGTTCAAAGCCAAATAGTAAATCTTTCAGGCTTTACCACCATATGGTCTCAGAAGCATATTCTTCTATTGCTTTTTACTCTTGTTTTTCCACAAACCTTTAAAAATAAGCCATTTTTAAAAAGGTAAAGCCATTTTATGCTCATAGACTATAGAAAAGAGACAAGGACTGAATTAAGTCTGTCAATACCTGAATTATTAGGTAACTGTCATTAAAAATTATTTCTTAAAGGATTTATTGAGTACTGACATCCACAGGATAGAATGAGAGTTTGTGGAGAACAGGGACCATCAGCAGTTCACCCTTCCTATTTTGAGAGTCTGGGACAGCATCTGACACCAGGTATGTACCATGTATTCACATCTTTATTATCTGATAAAAGTGGGAAGAAACCAAAGTATATTCTGTTTTCCTCAAAGTCACCCTAGCCACTGAGACAGTAATAACTAAGATAATAAGGACAAAAAAGGACAACTACAATGTATGCACAGAAAACAACGGTCATTAAAATGGACATACAATTAGTAAGAAAATAAAGAATGGCCACGTTTGAAGGTGGAGCTGCAAAAAAGAAGGAAGCATGTTCTTCAAGGATTCTTTTGTGTGAGACGCTAAAATGCTGTCTCCAAATCAGAATTGCTAACTCAGAATGCTCATAGATACTTTGAGATATTTTGAACAAGCCATCTAAAGACTGCTGTGTATATTTATAAGCAACAGATTGTGGAGAAGATTATATCATATATTTATCAAAAGTATATATTTGTCCTCTAGGATATGTTTCAAATAGCATGTGCTAGCTGGAAGCTTAAAAAAATAGACAAGACAAAGCCCTAGCAAAATGTAATTGATGATGTAAGGCATGCCTTATCTTGTCAACTTCTATCTGCATAATAACCTTCTTCTAATAAACAATCTCACTCAGGATTACCAAATGCCCAAAGCAAAGCCCACTGGACTTGGCAACAGGAAGCCCAGGCTCAACTCCTGGCCCTGCGACCTTGAATAACGCTTTAAAGCTCTGTGCTTCTCACATTCCTCTTCCGAAAGTAAGGAGACTGGATTAAATTATCTCTTCAGTCACTTTCAAATTGGACATTAAATGAACCTAAGAAATTATGAACCTCCAGGAGAACAGAGGGGAAGAGAAGAAAAAAAAAACTGTACATTTCTCTTAACTGAATTCTCCCATAGCTTGTCCCTACTATCTTTCTTTGATCTCCTTTTCCCCTGCCTCGCTCTAAAAAGAATTTGAATGTCTTCTCACAGGAAAAAAAGCCCAGGATAACAGAAAGTACTATTAGAGTTCCAAAGCTATTTTGCTGCTTAAAGATTTAAGAATAATGATGAAAAATAGCAAAGACCACTGCCATAATCAAGACTGTCTTTGCTACTTTAAGGTACTTCTCGTGAGTGTGTGCTAAGTCACTTCAGTCACGTCTGACTCTTTGTGACCCCGTGGACTGTAGCCCATCAGGCTCCTCTGTCCATGTGCTTCTCCAGGCTAGAATACTGGGGTGGGTTGCCATGCCCTCCTCCAGGGGACCTTCCTGAGCCAGGGATCGAACCAGCATCTTCTACGGCTCCTGCATTGCAAGCAGATTCTTTACTGCTGATTTCAAGGTACTAATTAGGAGAGATTAATAATTGTAAAATGTAGACACAATCTAACCTTGTTTCAAAGGCTAGAAACCTAGACTGAACTGCATACCAATGCTTCTGGGAGAATACAATCAGGCAGTGTGGGGAGGGTGCATGGTGCTGAAGATATGATGCCTTTGGTAGGTAGCAGGAAATCACTGCTGTGATCCCTACCATCTATGGAAACTTGGGCCAATTACTCAATATTAATAAGCCTCAAGTTCTTTGGAAAAGGAAATGGCAACCCACTCCAGTATTCTTGCCTGGAGAATTCCATGGACAGAGGAGCCTGGTAGGCTACAGTCCATGGGATTGCACAGAGTCATGAGTGACAAACACTTTTAAGTTCTTCAGCTAAAACATGGGGATAACAACATTTTGTATCAGAGGGTTACCTTTAAGGATTAAAAGATGTTTTCAAAATAAAGTTTACAGAGCATCTACAGAAGCACTCCACACATCAGGGTGTTAAAAACAAAACATACCTCTAACTTAATAACCATTGTGCGTGAGCCCACTTTATAGAAAATCTTGTTTAACTTCCCCAACACCTGACATGTAATTCTCATTTGATCAGAACTCACTTGATCGAAAACAAAAAATGAGGACCAGTATTAAAACCAAGGGGAGCTCCATACCTAGAAGAGGACATTCCCACAGGTATGAACTGTACTACCCTCTCACAAAAGGGCTAACTTTTCTCTGGAAAGGGCTAAGGGACAAAGGAAAAGATGGAAGCTGCTACAGGCCTCGAACAAGAGAAACTGCCAGAGTGGAAGATCTGCTTTCTCTAGGAACCCAGGACAGATGAAGGTGCCCTGGACCCACAACATGTGGCCCCTCCTCTTGGATTAAGTCGACTGTACCTATTTTTAACACAGTGAGGAAATTAAACAGCCATGTAGTAGAAAAGTGAGATTCCAGCCAGGAACCAAAGACAATCTTGTTTTTAAATTTCTAAAGTAAGCTTCATGGGCTTCCCAGGTGACACTCATAGTAAAGAACCTGTTTGCCAATGCAGGAGACGTAAGAGACCTGGGTTCAATCACTGGGTTAGGAAGATCCCCTGGAGGAGGCAAGACAACCCATTCCAGTATTTCTGCAAGGAAAAGCCCATGGACAGAGGAGCCTGGCAGGCTACAGTCCATGGGTTGCCAAGAATAGGACACAACAGAAGTGGCTTAGCATGCACATGGTAAGCTTCATATTTTTAACCCCTGATCATATTGCATCACCTCTAACATGGTACTGGGATCAGGATACCAAAATCATAGGGAAATTTTCTTATAATTATCATCCTTACTCTTTTAAATCTGAAAGCCTGAAATACAGTCTGCATCTACTGATCATTCAGAAGGCAGCTATGCTAACCATGATCCCACCAACAAGCCATTTGTGAAGACTCACACTTCCCTCACAGGATCGGAAGAAGTAGGGGAAACCCTGCTTACAGTAACCATGAATGTACATCTTCAGGGGACTGTGACTCATAGTCCTGATGACTCAGCTTGTCCTTGTGTGTGTTCTCCCATCCCTTTATGAGACAGAGGTATCTCTTACTCTGCCAGGCCAAGGATGGTTTCCCTTTTGTACTGGTCATCGGCCGTGAACCGCTGCACATCCACACCCTTCCGCAGGCCCTGGAGGACCTGAGCCTGAGTGAAGTCCAGCAGGCGTTCATTGTAGTAGTGCAACTGCTTGGTCAGTGCAGCAAGGTCCTCGGGCCAGGCCTCGTGTCCATACAGAGTCACATGCCTGCTGACCATCTTGATCAGTTCTTTGGGATCAGCCTGTGAATAACAAAAAAAGTAATTAGAGAAAAAAAATAGTAACAGTGGGAAGAAGGTCACGTCAACTGGGCGTCTGTCTGGCCCTTCACATGGCCACTATCTAATCAAGGTTTACAACCACCCTGGGAAGTCTGTTGCAGAGGTGCTCCATTTTGCAGACCATAAGAACAGGACACAGAAACTGAGTCTAGGAATGGATTTTTGGATGCCTGCTCTGTTCTTCCACCTTAAAAAATCTCCATCCACTTAAAAAATACGTATGCTTGCTTTTTCAACTACCGTTAGATAGCTGAGCCTATTCCAGATCTCTTCCCTAATTATCTGATCATTTATAATAATTCACCCTGGAAGCAATTTTGTCATCATTGCCCCTGGATAAATATTCTTTGGACCATCTAAGTATTATCAATAACAAAGCTGTAGTTCAATAATCCCATTAGAAATGCCTAGACAGTTAAGTAGAAGAGTATTTTCTCCAGGGCTAAGGGGAAGAAAACCCATCCCTATTCCTACAATCATCATTTCTCTCTAGTTTCATAAGAAAGTATGCAACCAATTTTTACTTGGCTCAGTTTGGGGCTCAATGGGATACTGTCCTGTAATTCTTTGACTCATTGAAAAAACCTGATACTGGGAAAGATAGAAGGTAGGAGGAGAAGGGGATGATAGATGGTTGGATGGCATCACCGACTCAATGGACATGAGTTTGAGTAAACTCTAGGAGTTGGTGATGGACAGGGAGGCCTGGCATGATGCAGTCTATGGAATCACAAAGAGTCAGACACCGGTCCCTCAGTCATGAGCAACTAAACTGATACTGATGTTACAAAACAATTATTCAAAAAGAACAAAGCCCAGAATTGATCAGCTGACAGAAAATGTGGTTAGCTGACCACATTTATTTATATTAAAGTTGGTCTGGGTGTCAGTGAAGCCATAGCAGCTCCACCATGATTCCAGAGTTACCTAACATGTAAACAACATTAATTCAATCCCTCCCAGCTTCTGAGAAGACATAGTACATATTTTAATATAAGCAAACTAGGAAAAAAAAAAACCAAAACACTCCCTAAGCTACCTGTGGTTCTCTAAAACACATCTAATTATAATAAGCTGTCAGCATTTCTCATGCATAAGTCATTATTCTGAGCTGCACAGGAGATTTATCAGTGTCCGGTCTATATTGCCAAACCTAGCCTGACATTCTCTCTCTTGATCCTATTAAGGAAAAGTCTGTGAGTAATGATAAAAACCAATTAAAGAAATCTTGGATTCCAACAGGTAGATTTAAGAAAAAGTCACCCTTACCAAATGTTTCCCCTATCTCTATGCATACATTGAATCCTATCCTCAAAAACTGCAGATATCTGTCTCAAGTCAAAAGACCCGGCTTTGAAAACCAATGCTCTCAAGTAAGTAGCTGTAAGATAATCTGTCCTTCACTCAACAAATACTTTTTGTGCACCTATTATGTGCCAGGTGATGCCCTAAGATGTGACCCTTTCCTCCAGGAATGTAGTCTATAAGGAAAGACAATCAAGCAAACGACTATAAGTGGTTTGATACCACTAAGCACAGGGTGCCATGGGAATGAATACAGAGGGGTTGGCTTCGGGCACGTGTCAAGCAGGGCTTCGTGGAAGAGTTAATTTCTAGTCTAACTAGTCAGGTGTTAAGTAGTAAAAAGGCCATCAAGAAACAGGGGTTCCCCTGGTGACTCACTGGTAAAGAATCCACCTGCTGATGCACGAGACGTGGGTTCAATCCCTGGTCCGGGAAGATCCCACATGCTTTGAAGCAACTAAGCCCATGGGCCACAACTACTGAACCTGTCCTCTAGAGCCCAGGAGCCACAATTGCTGAAGTCCACACACCCTAGAGCCCATGCTCTGCAATAAGAGAAACCACCATGATGAGAATCCCTCACACTGCAACTAGCCTCCGCTTGGTGCAGTTAGAGAAACACATGTGCAGCAAGGAAGACCCAGCATGGCTAAAAATAAATAAAATTATATTAAAAAAAAACAAACCTGGGAAACAAATTCCAGTAAAGGCGAGAATATGTGCTAAGCCTAGATGGCTAAGCCCTGATGGGAAGATGGAGTGAATAAAGCTGATCTAACTGCATTTAGAAGTGATTTGGGGATAAGCTGCATAAGGCTGGCATATCTGGCAGTGGATTTAGGCAAACCAGATCCCATTCCTCAGCTCTTAGTGCCTCTTCATCTGTCATTTAGCCCGGCTCCCTTCTGCTTACAGACTGAAGCTCACGAGGCCCCTCCCTGAACCACCGCCCAGAGGCACAGCCCCCTCTGGAGCTGTCCGGCACAAGGATGTTGCCAGGGAGCCAGCAGCCCATCCACACGTGCTCTGCGTCCTGGTGTGCCCTGTTGTTGCCTGCTCGTCTCCACCTCATCCGGTGAGCACTTTTCTGCCTAGAGAGAGAGAGAGCAGGAGCAAATATCCAACAACTGGGGTTTTAGGGCAGCAGGACAGCTCTTTTGGATGTGTTCTTTCAGGGAGCTCTTTGTACTGGTTTTGCACTCCACTAGCAGACTCATGGGAGAAGGCAATGGCACCGCACTCCAGTACCCTTGTCTGGAAAATCCCATGGATGGCGGAACCTGGTAGGCTGCAGTCCATGGGGTCACTAAGAGTTGGACACGACTGAGTGACTTCACTTTCACGTTTCACTCTCATGCATTGGAGAAGGAAGTGGCAACCCACTCCAGTGTTCTTGCCTGAATCCCAGGGACGGGGGAGCCTGCTGGGCTGCCATCTATGGGGTCTCACAGAGTTGGACCAGACTGAAGCGACTTAGCAGCAGCAGCACGGATTTGGTACCTGTATTGGGAGAATACACTACATATCTGATCTCATTTCTATTCTCTTTCTAACACCATTTATGAAACAAATTCCCAAACCAGGTTAGAGAGTTCAGCTCCAAGAGTACTGAATAGCACACAGCAATAATGCACATAATTGCCACTACTAACATTACACCAGCTTTTCTTTATCTTACAGAGATTTTCAAGTCTCCACCTATAACCTTCATTTTCACATGTGGCAAAAAAACACCTTTTTTTCCAATGAAGAAAATGGCATGACAGAATGTAGTAAGTATGGATACATATAAGTTACTAGCTGGATGCCCTTGTGCAAGCTACTTAACAACTACAAACTTAATAGTCTTATCTATAAAATGGCAATATACTATAGCTTGCATGGTTGCACAAAGCCTAAGAAACTACACACACATACACACACACACACATATAAAATACACAAACCAAGACCTGGTCCATAGGAGGGGCTCCAAAAATGAAAGCAATTATGGAATTTACTCAAAGGTATTCCCGGGTGGCACAGTGGTAAAGAAGCTGTCTGCCAATGCAGGAGACTCAAAGATACGGGTTCAATCCCTGGGTCGGGAAGAGACCCTGGAGAGGGAGGGAAATGGCAACCCACTCCAGTAATCTTGCCTGGAGAATCCCATGGACAGAGGAGCCTGGCAGGCGGCAGAACATGGGGCTGCAAAGAGTAGGACATGACTGAGTGACTATGCACGCACATTACTGACACATCTGTTACACTTTAATTGTACTTCACATGCCTCTCTTTTAAGTATTAAATTAGTTTATGGAGGGCAGAAACCATGTGTACTTAGTGGATGTGTCTTTCCCACAGCACGTTAGAGCTGTGGGGTAAAGGCGGGGCACACCAAAGAGGAGCAGCAGATTTTATGTCAGTAGTACTAATTTATATACCAGATCTTTTGCTTACTAGAGATGCAATTTGGGGCAAAAATTCGAATGAATCTTTTGGCCAAACCAATACTTTGTTCTTGACACACACTTCATAGAGCATGTTTTAAGTTCTAGCTTTCCATGCAAATTATTTTCTAATCATTATCACTACTACTTTCTGTCCCTTCCTCCAGAAACTTTACCTGTCATGATTACTTCCAATGTAAGTTTTAAATTCTAGTAACAATTCTTCCCCTGGGCTCATCATAATTTCTCTCAGTATATTCCAAAAGCATCCTCTACTCAACCCAACACTTCATTTCATACATTCATTCATTCACTTCACAAGTGCACAGCATTAAAGTTTCTAAAGCACTTTCACATGATTTTGATCTGACCTTCATACCAACCCAGTGATGGACACAGGAGACTGCTGGTAACTGCTTTATAGACGCCAATCTCCAATTAGGCATCCTGAGTTGGAGTCTCACAGCAAAGAAGAGACTCAAGCCTCCTGGTCTCTCATCTCATGGGCTTTCCACTGTACCAGCAGAGCTCCTTGAATGTTCTACATCCAGCTTCACACGTAAAGTCACTAATTTTTGAGCAGAGTATATTCAAACCTCTCTCCCTCTTTTTCCACTTAAGTTCAATGACATGATCCATGAGTACAAAAGCTTTTAGCCTCTAAGAAACTTTTGAAGGACTTTACGGGTAGCTTTCAAATCTCCCATGTTCAGTATCGAAATGATACTACAAAAACTGAAAACATAAAAAGGCGTCAAAAATTTAAGAAGTGTGGAGAATTAAATTATTCTAATTTCCCCCCAAATCTGGCAACGCAGTTTCTTTAAGGTGTAGGAAAAAAATATGTTTTCTTTAAAGACTATGGCCAAGTCCCTGAAAAAAAAAAATTTTTTTAATGTATATAAATATTTATGACACTAGAATGCTGAATGATTTCATCTAGTGCTACTAACTAGTAGAGGTAATAAATCCATTCAGGCTTAATAGTCTCCATTTCTTGGTAATATTGTTTGGAAAGTTTTAAACAGGTGGTATGTTTCCCCTCTAGGGCTGTTATTTGCTTGAGATAATTTTCTCCTTAGTATTTTCAATTAGTAGCTTAAAAAATGCATCTTAGAAATAGTCTACCATAAAGTTTTGAATTTCATCCCCTGCTGAGTTTGATTCTCTAGCATATAAAACTAAAAGACACATTTCCATTTTTAAATGATTTTATCTTCTTAAACTTTTTTTTTTTTTTAAAGCTAGAGAAATCATACTTCAAGATGCATATACGTGAAGAGGGATAAATTAGGAGTTTGAGATTAGCAGATACACAGTATTCTGTATAAAACAGATAAACAATGAGGTCATACTGTATAGCACAGGGAACTATAGCCAATATCTTGTAATAACCTACGATGGAAAAGAATATATGCACGTGTATACTTGCATGCTTATTATGTATAACTGAACCACTTTGTTTGTATACCAGAAATTAACACTTTGTAAATTTCAATACTTCGATTTGTAAAAAAATTACAATACTTCATTTTGTAAAAAAGAAGCAGTGACAATAATTACAAAGGTAAGATACGAATAAACAAGGTACAGAAATGTGTATAGCTTACTCATATCTGTATTAAAAAGTTGTTATATAAATATGTACATCCGTAACTATTTCTGGAGGGATACAAAAGGGAAACTGACCTTTTGTTTTATCCTATTTTCATCATCTGTTTTTTGCCACGTGTGCATTGTTTTTTCAACATAAAATACTGATTAGGACAAATACTAGAAGAGGAAATTCTCTGCAAGTGACCATTTCCCAATCATCATTATAGACCTCTAAAAAGAAACATGAGGGACTTCCCCAGTGTTCAGGTGGCTAAGACTCCACACTCCCAGGGCAGGGGGCCTGGGTTCGATCCCTGGTCAGGCAACTAGATTCCATATGCTGCAACTAAGATCTGGCGCAGCTATCTAAATCAATCCACCAATCAATCAGTCAATCAGTCAATCAATAAATATTAAAAAGAAAAAAGGCCCGCTGGACTGCTCCAATGATCACCCAGGGTTGCTGCCGGGTCCTGGGCGTCTGTGTGGCTGATGCAGGATGTGCTTCGCACCAAGATGCACAGGCTTCTTATCAGAAATGACACCATAAATTATTATCAATACTTTCACTCAAACCTAGTAATCTACCTAAGTTATCATTCCCGCAGCTCAGAACTGCAGGGGGTAGAAAGAGAAAACGTGAAAAGACTGTGCAAATAGAAACAAACTGAACTGACAACTGAGTGGAAGCAAAGCTTCGTGGAGAGTTATTATGTGTGGGCAACAAATTGAAATCACTTGGATCTCTGTTTCCAAGATAATTCATCAGGAGTTTGTCATGTCTAATTCAAACTCAGCAGTGCGGTTTTTTGCAGGGAGATACTGAAAAGACTCAAATAATGAGCCATTAGGTAGTCAATGGACAATGCAAACATACTTAAAACATCCAGCTAACAGGCCCATCCATGAAAAGGACAGACTCTTAAAATGTAATACTGACGGCTGTTCAAACCGTAGCAGCTGAAATGATTCCTCAAATTAGTCACATGCCAACAAACAGTCACTGAGTAACTAGAGGGGGGTGATGTCCTGGGGATTCCTACCCTCAACAGGATCATATGTGGAAAGAAGACGAGGTGCACTGGCTACCACCACCTACAAGATCCGCTCCAGGGGACGTCTGGAAGAGAGCTGTCTTGTTAACTTGTGGCTCAGCTGGTAAAGAATCTGCCTGCAATGCGGGAGACCTGGGTTTGATCCCTGGGTTGGGAAGATTCCCTGGAGAAGGGAAAGGCTACCCACTCCAGTATTCTGGCCTGGAGTATTCCATGGACGGAGAAGCCGGCTAGGCTACAGTCCATGGGATCACAAAGAGTCGGACATGACTGAGCGACTTTCACTTTACTTTTCAAATTAAAAAAAAAAGATGTATTTACAATAATTAGAAAGATAAGATAGAAAATTTTTTTAAAAAATCATTTCAGGCAGCAAAGAAAGCTTCACACAGGAGGCTTTTTTAAGCTCAGACTTATCTGCTGCTAGGAGAAGAAGCAAGAGGTATTTCAGGCAGGAGAATTACATCTGCACAGACACCAAGATGTGGGAAAGGATGTCAGATTCAGAGAAAAATACAGTCTGAACAGTCAGAGCATAAACTTCAAATGAGCCAGTGTCAGGATCATGACTGGCGGGGTGAGGAAGAGTTCCCAGTGTTCACTGAGGGGATTCCCAGTCAAACACGGGAGTAGAGATTTCAGCCAGGAGCCGCTGCAGAGCGGGTAGAAACATCATGCTGGGAGTGCGAGCCAGAGATCACTCGGCTCCGAAACACAGGGACACGCTGCTTCTGAAACAAAGCTGGAGTGGCCGCATGACCAGGCGACGGGCAGGTAAAGACTGGACTCAGGAGCCCTGGTGACCGAGGTCACTTTCTACCAGAGTGACCCTGAGCAAGTAACCCAATTTTTCCGAGTCTTACCTTCTGCACAGAGGCAGCCACTTCTGCAAAATGAGGCTGCTCAACGGATCAAACTGCAGAATGAATGTGAAAGGTACTAAGACAGCCTATGCCTTCCCAAGGTGAGTCTCATCCTTCTACCATTCCCAGACAGCTCCCCTAAACAAGCCCCACATTCACCACTGCGGTGACCACTCCTGACACCTTCCCAGCCGAGAGGAGACCCAATCGGGTCACAGTGAAGTCTGGTCACCGACTCCACTGCTATCCTTCCCCTCTGGAGTTGGGCAACACTTCTGTGCCTCGCGTTTTATAAAGTAATATTTCAATACTTTCTTAAATACTTGTGAAAAAACACTAGAGTACATAGGATGGCACAGGGACATATTAACTTCTCTGTTACAGGTTCCATCCCTCCACCTAGAATGTTCTCCTCTACCCAGTCTTCCTGATGCTATGCTTATCCTTTTCTTTAGTCAAAGGTCACCCTCTTAACTAAGGCCTTTCCTGAGCCTGTTTTAAACTGTACTCCACTGCTTAACTTTCTTCTTTGCTTTTTGTTTTCAAAGCTCTTATCATAATTAAACAAAGAATATATTTTATTTACTTTTTTGTTGTTGTTGATGGTGCCCCTCCCCAAACAGAATATAAATCTGAAAAGGAGAAGGGTTTTTATACAAGCTGTCCACTACTGTCTTCCCCAGATCTAGAACACTGCCTGGCACAAGCAGTCATCTGACAAATATTTTTGATAAACACACACATAATCCAACTGCTTCCTATGTACTGAAGGATAACTCATTAATTTTCAGTATTCTACTCCAGGGAACATCCGTTTACTCCCCTTGACATTCCAGGTCCTGCAACGAGGAAACCAACGAATACAACACAGACACTGGCCTGAAACAGCTGGTTATCTAGTAAGATAAAAATAGGCAAATTCCAAGTAACACAGTATAAAAGTCACGCGGGAAGGAAAGGGCGGTGCAGACACACAGAGGGGCATCCAGCACAGCCTGGGAGCACGACAGGACGGTGCCAGGTGGCAGGACCCGAGTACTGAGCAAAGGCATCCTGGTGAAACACCACGGGCAAAAGATTACAACGTGCTGAAGACAAGGAACAGAACACACGGGCTGTGTGAGAAATTTGAGCAGCTTGGTATGGCTGGAACAAAAGGAAAATGAAGGCGAGGAAACAGACAGAGGCCAGACGACCTTGCTAGGACCATGGGAAACCACTGAAGCACTGGAAGGGGAGGAGAGGAAGCCCAGACCTCCACACTGGAAAGGCTGCTCTGCCAGATGCCTGGAAAGAAATGCAGAAGCAACAGAAAGGAAGAAACGATGCCTGTTCCATTAAGTAAGTACACTGTTCCAGAAATTAACCTGCCACACTTCCACCTATATATAATCACTTCTTTCCCAGAATTTATAACACAGTAGGTCAATTCCTTATCTCAAACAAAAACATACCTGTGATATAAAAGCAAAACAAAGGAAAATTACTAGAGTATAGGAAAAAAAGTAGTACAAAGCAGCAGTAGCTATTAAAAAAAAAAAAATCAAAATTTCCAAAATAAAGTAATATATGAACTAGCCTAAAAAAGACAGTCCTTTTCTTGGCCCAAATTTCATCCCTAATATACCCATTTCTGAAAACAATACCCACTCATAATGATGATGCCCTTGGGAGAGTAACCTACGTGGGAGAGGGTTCCCTCATTCCCCTTTCTCTTTCTAAATAAAAACTGATGAATGAAAGCCATAGATTTTGCCATAAACAGAATGTTTTCATATACTTACAGGCTCTTAGATATGTTTTGGATGGCCAAGGCATCCAAATTCTTTTTCTGCAGTCTGCTCTGGGTCAGGGGAGGAAGAATCCTGCCTCTAAATAGATACTGAAACTTGAATCTGTACACAGAGTAGATTTGAAAGTCTAATCTATTTGCTTATCTATTCTTAAAGTGGTAATTCTCTTAAAATATCCAGCATAAAAAGGAGATAATTTCTGAATGCTGATGCTTAGAGCTGGTGCATACAAGTAAACCTAGAGGCCAACCATTTTCTAGCAGCACCTGGAACACTTTCAGGTCCAAAAAGAAGGCAATGTAACTTGAGGCCAAGCTTAGGTGCTCTCACTCAGAAATTAACAATAAAGTTAAATAAAAGGCGTCAGAAGCATGGGGGTAAGTAGGCATAGTGTGTCTCAACATTTCATCTGCACAATTACTACTCTCATACCTCTCTGTCTTAAAAATAAATAAAAGGGCAGTGCTATTCAAAGAACGACATTGCATATTGTCCTAAATTAGAGTCATCTTCCTCTTGAAAAGGTAGTTACAAAGCCAGTTCTCCATTTCTCCTCTACTACTTCAGCCTTTCCTAAGAATGCTGTAAAATAAAATAAATGACAGAGAAGTGAGGGGCAAATCAACATTCACCTTACACACTAGAACCTCTGCCTCTTATTAATGCCTGGAAAAGCAACTCCATCTAGCACAGCCACTGTGAATGCATTCTGAATGCAAAGTGCTTCAGTCCCTCCAAAGAGGTAAACATGTGTTTTAACTACTTTAGAAAAGCTTTACCGTTTCTCATTAATAAAGTGGAAACTGTGAGGACTCACCCTGTAAAGAGGATGGCATTTGTCCCTGAAACATGGAGCCAACTGGGCGTAGATCTGGAGGCTATAGTAATAGGCTGCCAATTGGAGAGAGAGAGCGGAGTGGGACTGCTTTTCAAAGCACTTGTTAGCGTCTAACACCTACGAGGGAGCACAAGAGAAAGAGCTTAGCTGAAAGGAAATTAGCACAACCATCATAACCATTACATTTCTAGTCCTTACTGTAGAATTTTGGTTCAAAGTTTTCATCAAATTGACTCAAGCTCATCTTAACATGACTACATTAAAATTCAGACAGATTATAAAGGCCAGATCCTATGCATGTGAAAGCAGATTTTAAAATCAAGATTTCAGCTAACATTGTAGATTTTACTCTTCAGATACTGACCACAGCCCTTGCATTATGCAGAGGAAAACCAGAAGGAAGTGAAACATGCAATAAACAATTCACCAGTGAAAACCCCAGTAAAGATTTTCAGTTTATTCATTTTTCAAGTCCTTTTTTCTTGGTAAGGGCAAACTTACCTGTGGTAAGGCCAGGAGATAAGCAAGAGCCAAGGTCATATCATTTGGTAATGCGTCACTTGCTAGCTGTAAGAGAACTGGATACAAAAAACAAACAAACATTATTTTCTTTGAGGATCCATGTGACAGTCACGGATACTAAGCATCACGATTTTAGTCCTTCATGATTTCAACTGTAATTATCTTCAGAGAACTTTTTAAGATGCTTTATGAGAAAGTCTATTCAGCACCATCGAAGTACAGATTATATGAAACTACGTTAAATGGTAGTCTTGCCTTAACTCAAGACACATTATGCCATTTGCTACTTACATATGTGACTAATGTTAGTGCAGCTACAAAGTCTAAGTGCAAACAGATCAGTGAGGATGTCTCTTCCAGCTAATCTTCTGGTTTTAGAGACTCAGGCCATGCTATACAATTCTGGATATCAATGACAGCTACCGTGGAAGATGATCATGTGAGCACTCATGGTCAGAACAACAACACAGCTTTGTGAGAGCAGACTTAGGATAACTTTCTTGATTACTACAGTCATGACAATATGGCTGTGTTCTTTCTCTGCACCACACTCCACGAAAAGAAAACCAGTCTCATGCTTTGATTATATAACATCTTACAACCATCTACAACTTTCATAAAGCTTCTTTATATAAGCAACAACCCGTCAATGTCATGGATTTAATAAAAGAACACTGCAAATAACATCTGTGTTTATATCCCATTTTGTACTAATAAGGAGGCACTCATTTAGGACCTTAAGTGACCAATACTAGATAGTCACTGTAATCACAGTGTAAACTTATTTTATAGAGAACAGGCTCTCCTGATCTTCACTAATGATGGTAAACAGCATCTAAATAATTCAAAGTAAGTAATATTTCACTTCATAAGTACACCATATCATTTTATGGTGTATTAGAGGAAACTGAAAGTCACTCAGTCGTGTCCGACTCTTTGCAACCCCATGGACTATACACTTCTCCAGGCCAGAATACTGGAGTGGGTAGCCTTTCCCTTCTCCAGGGGATCTTCCCAACCCAGGGATTGAACCCTGGTCTCCTGCATTGCAGGTGAATTCTTTACCAGCTGAGCCTAGATGAGCCAGCTCTAAATGGGTGGCGTGTCAGCAGTGCCCTAAAACCTGACATGTCCTGTGCATGGCTCATCTAAAAGGGAACTAGGCTTCTTGCACAGCACCTCTAGTAAGAGAATCTGAGTTCTCGAAATACTCATTTCCTCTACAATTGCAACCTCCAACCTCACCTAGCTTTTTTCACTCCATTTTTACTTCCTTCAGATATTTCCCTTCCTCATGTACAAAAGAGGCCAGTTTTCAAACCACCCCCCCCCCTTACTGGCTTTTAGAATCTAAACCTACTCATCAAAACCAGCCCTGTCTTTTCATGGTTCAGGAGCCCCTATTCCAGGTGAATGGCCGATGCCGCAGCTAATGGAGGACCGTCCCTCTCAGAGTTGTGTTTGGGGCTAGTCTGAGCCCTGCCTGGGAAAATCACCCAGTCCCATTACTGACCTCCAGTCAGATCTTTTTTCTTTCTTCCTTTCCTTGTTTTCTTTTTGTTTTTAAACCTATCATCAACTCAATCTTACACTCCATTTAATGTGCATTTGGCGACTTCCAAAAATCAAAGCACCTTAAAGGGATGCAAAAATATGCTACCCCTGAAGATATTCCTAAGCATATGCTCCAGATCCTGAAGGAAATTTCAAAAGGACAACAACCCAATAAAAAACAAAACCAACAAAGAACACTCACGACGATGTGGCTGGAATAAAGCAGAGTTCCCTTGAGAGACCTTTGTGAGGGAAAAACTAGATCTGAAAATATAAGCTTCAATAGCCTTATTTTTCAAACAGTTATATCATTTCACAGCTACAACTCAAAAGATGGTCACCAGTGTTTCTTGAACATATATCATTGAATACAAAGCTTTTAGCAGGCAAAAGAGAAAAGAAATAATTAATTTCCATGAGCTAAAAGTAATGACAAAAATCACCCTCAGAGGAGTCCAAAGAATCATTGTTATTTTTATAAATAGTGAAAATAATCACTTTAAAATACAAATATTTGCTCCAAGTGAATAATAACCATAAAGATTTCACTTCATATATATAACTCTTGTGTCTGACTCCTGTGACCCCATGGACTGTAGCCCGCCAGGCTCCTCCTTCCATGGAATTCTCCAGGAAAGAGTACTGCAGTGGGTTGCCATTTCCTTCTCCAGGAGATCTTACCAACCCAGGGATTGAACCCGGGTCCTTGTGTATCACAGGCAGATTCTTTACTGACTGAGCCACCAGGGAAGCCCCATATTCACAACAGTCTTCATCAATTTTAAAAGTTTTCTGCAATTTATAAAGCACTGACATTTGAGGGGGAAGAGTTTTGTCAATCTGGGCTATTGGCAGACTAGTCAGTTGCCAAGTAAAGCCAACAGCTTCCCTGTGGGCACACCACTGATGTGCAGACCAACCAGCTCGGAGCCCATTCCCTGAACTAGCCTCCTTCTCTGGCTTCTGCACTCCAGGCGCAATATCACCTTTGCCCTGATCACCCCAGGGCCAGGTGCTAGACAGCCAGAGATCACCCCACAGCCCAGAGTCCACCCAAGTTACCCAAACTCTTCATCTCAAGCTTGCTCAAGCATGCCTACCAGACCTCGCCTGTTATTTCCCGTGAAAACCCATACTCTGCCCCCTTCATACCTTCTGCCTCCCTCTCCCTCTCTCTGCCCTGAGGTAAAGACAGTGAGCAGGCAGCTGTGTGCTAGCCAGGAAGAGATAACTCACCAGAAGCCAACCACACTGGCATCTGATTTCCAATCTCCAAACTGTGAGACTGGGAATTTCTGCTGTTTAAGCCACCTCGTCTACAGTATTCTGTCCTGTCAGCCCAAGCTGACTAACATAGACAGAAAACAAGACATACAAAATAAGATATCTCTCTCTCTCCATCAGTATGTATCAGGCTAGCGACAATCTTATGCTATTACAAGCAATGAATATATGCCGTATTTTTCATGTATGTGAATTCATGGAATAAATTCCTAGAAGTGGAATTACTAGGTCAAATAATATAATTTTTATAGCTATTGCCAAATTGCCATGTGTTTTTCAAATTCTCACTTTAAGCCAAATCCTCATTGCAGCATCTCCACCAGGACTGCCGTTTAGCTGGCATATCTCACCCACTTGAATGCCCATTTGGCCCATTTTTCAAGGCCTCTTGACATCTACTTCAACCACAGAAGATGAAGATTGCTTAAAATTGAGGGTGAATCCAAAATCCTCTCCACAGGGTTAGCTTCACTGATATGAGTTGACTCCTCAGAATTAATCCTAAGAGAAAGGTACCCTGGCTTTCTGTTTCATCTTTCTGGGAATTGATGACTCAGACTTTTGCTCCACTCTCATCAGACGAACTCCAGTGAAATCCAGAATACTACATCTGATTTAAATTCTTCTGTGATTGGGTTCTCTTACTTGTACAGCCCTCCTGCAGATGAAAACTATGTACTCTGGATAAAGCATAAAAAATAGGTATCTTAAGGCACTGGTGAGGCATTGAAAGCAGACAGAAACTAAAGGGTAGATGCCATTTGGAAAAATGAAATGACAACAGTGAGTTTCCCATCTTTACAGCTTCTATCCTGAGGGCAAGCGTCTGTCTGCTCCTCGCCAGGCAGGTAAAATTTAGATGGAGAATTTGAAGTCTTAAAGAACCACAGCCCAGAAAAACCACAACAGCCGACAAGTAAGAGAGGTCTGATAGTTTCTTAAAAAACTTTGGCTCATCAATTTCACCCTTAGATAGTTACCCCAGAGAAATAAAAACAAAGGTCCATAAAAACACAGGTTCACAAAAACATTGTATAAGAGTTCACAGCAGCTTTTTCATAATAACCCTCAGTTAGAAAAAGCCCCCATGTCCCTCACCAGGAGAACAGGTAAACTGGTACAATCATACAGTGGAATACTTTTCAGTTATTAAAAAAAAAAAGAATAGAAAAAAACCTACTGATAGAAGCAATAAATCTTAAGTTTCACAGAAAAGAATATATCCTGTATGATTCCACTGAATGAATTCTAGAACAGTCAAAACTCATCTACAGCAGGGGAAAAACTGAACATTTGTCAGTCCCAATTAGGAGTGTGGGTTGGGTGTTTTCAGGAAAGAGGCATCGACTTTCTGGGATGACAGTAATGTTCTGCATCTTGAAAGGAGTCAGGGTTACATAGGGGCTGTGCTTGTCAAAACTCACAGTCTTATGTCTACACTTAGGATTTTTGCATTTCATTGTTTATAAACAAAAAAAATAAATAATAAAACTTGTAAAATAAAAAAGTAAGAAATATTGACTAGTTAAAGATATGCACAGTGCATGTCAAGAGGCAAAGAGTAACAATGCTTACAACTCTGAAATGTGTCAGAGAAAGAAGCTGTATTTGGTGGGAGGACTAGAGCAAGTGTAGTAAAATATTAATTGTTGCAATCTAGGTGGAGAGTATATGGGAGGTTCACTGTAGAAGTTTCTTGACTTTTCTACGCATTTGAAATTTTCCTTAATAAAATATTTACAGAAGAAAAGGGGGGGAAATACTTCTGAAAACAGGGTCAAATGCTCAAGCTCCCCAACAGTTATTTCCCAAATGGGGTTCCCTGTGGACAAGTATACATGTAGCTCTTCTCCATCTCTCAGGCAGCTGAGTTTCCAGCCACACAAAGCCTATGACCTCCCTGCTGCTCCAAGATGGGAAAGGCCACCATCACTAGTGTCAGGTACACCAGCATCTCCTATGTCCCCAGCTTGAAAGGAAAGGGATCATATCTCTTCCCTGATCCTTAATGCAACTGTCAAAATCACTTCGTGGTATCTTTTTCTCCCACAGCCAGATCACAGCTCATTAATCCCTGCAACTCAAGTGCTAACCCAGAACCCCTCCTGACTAACAACTAAATTATTGAAGGAAACTAACTTGGGGTGGGGGGGCTTGAGGGGGAGATGAGAGGGGAGAGATGGGAGGAGGGGAAAGGGGAGACACATCATAACTGCCCACACTTGACCCCATCCCAACTTTCTCAGCAGCTCTCACTGAGGCTCAATTCAAACCCCCACATACAGGAAACTTCTCAGACCTTGAATCTGTGAGCCATGTGAAGCTACATATGACAAAATTATCAATGAGGATCTGAAGTAGACCAGAAACCATAGGGTTTCAATAGGATGGGATCCACCAGATATTTTGCTGGCTGTAGACTGTATCGCAGTGATTTTTTCATTACCATTTAAGACACATGTATTTATTAAAATAATAATAATAATAATAAAGACCTGTCCTACATTTAGCACTGTGTATGAATTTAATTTGCAAAGCTTATTTTCTAAACTTGCAGAAAATACACTGCATTTTCTAGACAAGTAATACAGCCAAAATCAGATGAAATCTATGCCTAAGCCTCCAAGCACTAATTCTCTGCAAAATAAGTGCCTCTGGAAAGCACTCTATGATAAATTTAATTCCAGAATGGAATTCACAGAGGAAAGCTGCCCATATTATTGATTTAGAAATCATTAGCCATTAAATCATTCATTTAGCTAAATAAATAATGATCAATTTTCTTCAGCTAGTCTCCATAAAAATCCTTTTCATCAACTTTATTAAAAAATTCTGAAAAGTCAGATCGTGTTGGGAAGTTTAATTTGTATCATGACCTACTTCTGAACCAAAGTCAGGAGTCACATTTCTATAATTTTTAATTTAGGTCATTTAACCTATATCATTCATCAAATCTGTTGAGTTTCTAACAAATATTTGATACTATAAAATAGCTAATGATATCTGTCTCAAATACATTACCATCCTCAAGAGAAACCAAACATGACCATTTTGTAACATATGGAAATATCAAATAACGATGCTATATATCAGGAACTAACAATTCTGTAGGTCAATTACACTGCAGAAAAAAAACTCACAGAAAAAGAGATTAGATTTGTGGTTACCAGAGGCAGGGGGTAGGGGAAGGCAGAATTAGATGAAAGTAGTCAAAAGGTATCACCAACTTCGAGTTATAATCGAAAGTGATACTCCAGGTACAAGGACAGTAGGTGGCTCAAGGACCAATGCTTCAGTGAGTGATGTACACATGTGAGAAAGGGAACAGAAGGGGATTCCCGATCATCATTAAGTGTGTTACCCCCCAATCCACACAGCTCCTCCACAAAAATCTATTTGCTTCATGCTTCTAGATCATTCTGAGGCCTCATCATTTAGTTACCACAAAGATGGTCAGGTACTTTAAGAACCCCATGAAAGGGGGAGGCCAAATAATCTAGAAAGCTGTGCCCCACCAAGACCTTATTCTCAAGTACTCTCCACCTTCCTCCAAAAACAGCTCTGAAAAACAGCAGAAGCTTTAATAAACTGAGAAATCAGTGTGACAGAGTCTCTCCAAGGACACAGCCATCTTTCAAACCTTTGGCATGTAGTTCCATCCTCTTGCCTTTTTCTGAAAGAGAGGTATGCAAATACATACATACATACACACACACACACACACACACACACACATACCATAAGCTAAATCATAAATTAACATATTCCTGACTGGAGATGTATTAATATATCTTTTGTTACCCAAATATTATTGACCAGAGTGTTTCAGTATTCACTTACACAGCAAATTGCTGGTCACAGGCCTTAGGTTCTACAAAAATCCTCTAATCAATAATGTGTTAAGATATTACATAAGTCATTGTTTCCAAATTCCTGGTTATTAATTCAGTCCTTTATTACAGCAATTAACAGATGATATTTCCATGTCTAATCAGTATTTTCTTAGGGTCTTAGATTTTATCTGTATAAGCTATTCCAATAGTCAATCATAATTTAATCCATGAGTAATGTATTACAATATTTTTGAAGAAAAGAAAGAAGTAATAAATAATTAAAAGGGGAAGCAGCAATGCAACTATACTCTTAAAATCTATTCAATATCACTTGTAAGATGTGTCATGATTTAGCAATAGCTTCTTGGAGGCAAAAAAGAAACATGAATGTACCATCAACTGTGACTTGAACATTAATTTCAGAATAGCAAGGAGGAACCTAAAGAGCCTCCTGATGAAGGTGAAAGAGGAGAGTAAAAAAGCTGGCTTAAAACTCAACATTCAAAAAATTAAGCTCATGGCATCTGGTCCCATCACTTCATGGCAAGTAGAAGGGGAAAAAGCAGAAGCAGTGACAGACTTTATTTTCTTGGGCTCCAAAGTCTCCACAGCTGGTAACGGTAGCTATGAAATTAAAAGATGCTTGCTCTTTGGAAGGAAAGCTATGGCAAACCTAGATGGCATATTAAAAAGCAGAGATAGCACTTTGCTGACAAAGGTCCGTCTAGTCAAAGCTATGGTTTTTCCAGTAGTCATGTATGGATGTAAGAGTTGGACCATAAAGAAGGCTGAGTGCTGAAGATTTGAGGCTTTCAAACTGTGGCGCTGGAGAAGATTCTTGACAGTCCCTGGACAGCAAGGAGATCAAACCAGTCAATCCTAAAGGAAATCAACTGTGAATATTCACTGGAAGAACTGATGCTGAAGCTCCAATACTTAGGCTACCTGATGCAAAGAGCCGACTCATTGTAAAAGACCCTAATATTGGGAAAGATTAGGGCAGGAGGAGAAGGGGCCAAGAAAGGATGAGATGGTTGGATGGCCTCACCAACTCAATGGACATGAATTTGAGCAAACTCCAGGAGATAGTGAAGGACAGGGAAGCTTGGCATGCTGCAGGCCAGGGGTCACAGAGAGTCGGACTTGACTTAACGACTGAAGAACAAGGCAGAGAAACTATAGATTATGATATGCATCTCAGAACTGAAGAAAAACGGTAACTTTGTAAAAACGTCCAGTATCCCAGGCTCTGCAGAGTATTTGCTTCCTCTCTTTCCAACTGCATATAAATAATGATTGAAAGAAAGGATGATCTAAAAATATGTTACAGCATCAGGTTTCCAGGAACATGGCAGTTCTATGCCCCACATACATTTTTCCAAGTTTTACTCCACACTGCAATGTGTTCCATTAAAACACAGCATCATCCAGGCTCATTAGCAGTTATAGGTTATATGGAAGTGGAAGTCCTGGACAAGACTGCCAAGAAAACTGTTTTTCCCTTCTTTATTCCTTACAGATACCTGGAATATAGACAAGATAGCTGGAACCCCAGTTGTCTTTAAGTTCTGAAGTACCTACTAAGGCTGGCAAAGCAGAAGGAGAGGGAAAATTGAAAAATAAAAATAGTCAAGGCAATTACCTTGGAACCTTGAAAAGAAGTAAGGAGGAAGAAAAAAGTACAAATGGCAAGTGGTCTTTGGTCAACTGCATACATTTTCATTCTTTTCAAAAAATTTCACATGGAATGATATGGCACCATGCAGAAAATTCTTAAGACGAAATACACATCTATAGTTCATGAAATAGGTACATAAGAGTTCTTTATTAACCCATAAAACCAGGAAAGAAAGTAGTATCTATTGAATTCATTAATCTATATCATTCCCTAAGAATCACTTTACATGATTAGTACCCTAAATAGGAACTGTATCTCATTTATCCTTTTAAATTCTCAATATTACAAGTAACCAGAAAATAGTAGGTACTCAATAAATGATTTAAGTCAATGAATAAATAAATGTATGACTGATGATGTCAAGTTAAGCTATTCAAAATTACTGAAAATGTTACTGGTTTTCCTAACTCTCATTCATTCATACAGTCTCACCTATTATTCTGAGTTACACAGTCGAGGAACTAGAACCTTTCATACCTTCTGTTGTTGGAAATACTTCTTCTCCTTCGGTTTTAGTTTCTGCCAGTTTCCCAGTTCTCAGCAACACTTCTGCAAGGCTTTCTACCGGGATATGCTGATAGGTGTCATAGGTCACTTCAGACTAGACAAGAGAAGAAATGACATCATTTGATGGGATGGCTTTTTCTCTATGAAGATATTCTTAGAAAAGATAATGACAGGATTTTTATCTTCTCATAACTTGAATTATAGCTTCTCACTTACTAAAGCATATTATTCCATATAAAATTGTAAAACAGATTTTAGCCTCATAACATGTTGTAACAAATCACATAAAACCAATGCAAAACATGAGTATGAACAAAAGAAGTACATTTCAAAAAACTGCCTATTTTGTTTGTAGTAAAATGCTCACAACCACCATGATAGTTAAATCTATGTTCTTAGGCACACTGCCCTTACCTCTACAACAAAGGGATTGGAGATGACAGATTCATAAAAAGGATGACAGCCTTGTTTTTCTAGGCCTTCATTGGCTCTGGTTCCAATTTGATAAACACCACCAAATTCTTGACCCTAAACAGAACATAGTGAAGATCAGTGGATAAAAGAAAAGAGAGTTGGAAGGGGGGTGGAGGAGGAAAGGAAGGAAGAAAGAAGAAAAAGATTTCAGGAGAAACAGATCAATGTGTATTGTGTGAGCTGAAGAGAGTGTCAGAGCAACACCGAAACCCAGCGGAGAATATTAAGAATCAGCACCACGTTCTAAGGGCAGCACTTCAACCTCACCCTGAAGTGCTTTTTGATTTTTCTGGTCACTTTGACATCACTGAATCAGAAACACTGAAGCAATCGGTGTTACACACATGGCCAGTTTTCTATACAACAGTCAGGATAAACTTTCTAAAATATCATTCTGTACATGCTGTTCGCTTGCTCCAAAAAACCTTTAGTAGCTCTGAATAATGCAGTCAGCAGTATCAAATCTAAACTACACAGAATAACATTCAAATTCACTAAATGCTAATGACCATTAAAGGCTAACACTCCATGCAACTACTGTGTCCATTCTACTGGCCTCTATGCCTTCCTTCTGTTACAAGGGTAATGGTCCATGCTGACTGCCCACCTCTCCTCCCAGGCCCGCCACAGACCACACCTGCTGAAACCACAGCAGATAGAGGTAAGGTAAGACTGAGCTCCCTTCACCAGCCCCATCTCTCCCACAACTACAACCCACACGAACACCTTTATTAGACTGGTCTTCAGTATTCTTCATTAGCAATATTTTAGTATCCCTACTATGGTTAATTATCTTTATGCTTTGCTCTCCTCAAACAGACTGTAAAACCCCTTATTGGAAGAACCAAGAAGACGACATTCACCCAATCCTCCGAAGTTCATGGAGCACTTACTTAGGGCAAGCACAGCCTAGGAAACAATCAAGCTGCTGCTGCAAATGATGTTAAAATAGTTTCTTCAGAGAAAACTATATACTAGGCACAGTGCTAAACACTTTATCTAAGACGTTGTTGTTGTTCATTAGCTCAGTCATGTCCGACTCTTTGCAACCCCATGGACTGTGGCATGCCAAGCTTCCCTGTCCTTCACTATCTCCCAGAGCATGCTCAAACTCATGTCCATCAAGTCAGTGATGCCATCCAACCATCTCATCCTCTGTAGACTCCTTCTCCTCCTATCTTCAATCTTTCCCAGGATCACGATCTTTTCTAATGAGTCAGCTCTTCACATCAGGTGGCCAAAGTATTGAAGCTTCAGCATCAGTCCTTCCAATGAATATTCAGGACTGATCTCCTTTAGGATTGACTGGTTTGGTCTCCTTGCAGTCCAAGGGACTCACAAGAGTTTTCTCCAACACAACAGTTCAAAAGCATTAATTCTTCAGCATTCAGCCTGCTTTATTTAATGGTCCAACTCTAAGACATGAACTCTCAAAAAGCCCCAACAGGTGAAACAGAAAATAACCCTAATCAAAATCCAGTATGATGTCTGCAGTGATGAGATGCACAGACTTCACCCAAAGTCAAGCCCACAGCCCATCAGTAAGTGGTTTCTTCTGGGTGATTATCCTCCATTCTCTCTCCTGCATATCCATGTTCAGACCATCAGCAGGTCCACAAAGGTACACCCTCAAACCAAACACTTCTCATGTCCCTCATGGCTACCCTAATCTAAGCCATCAACATCTCTCAGCTGGAGCCCTGGAAGAGAGATCCATCTTTTTGTTTCACTACTGATGACACTCCACACAGCAGTTAAACAGACGTATGAAAAGTAACCTTGGATCACACAACTGCATTGTCTGAATTTTCAAACAACTCTGTGTTGCTGAGAAGCAGATCTGTAGTTCTCTTCACCATCTATGGAAGGCTTTACATGGTGGGTCTCTTCACCATCTCTCCAACCTCATTTCCAGCCATCTTCCCACTCATCATGCTGCTCTCCCTTACCTTGGCCTCCTTTCTCTTCTACAAAGACATCAGGCTCTTTCTTCAAAATGCACTTCTCTGCTTGGCTCACTCAGGTTTCTGCTCAGAGTAATTCCTCTTCTGAGAAACTAACTCCCCTGTTGCAATCAGAACTTCACTCCTCCGGTATCACTCACTATTCCACTACCTTGCTTAAGTTCTCTGCATAGTACTCATCACCACCTGCCATCTCATTATCATACAAATATTTTACCTGTTGGTTTCTTTTTTGCCTCCACTGAAACACAGGGGGCCCAAGGGAAGGAAATCAGACTGAAGGGTTTCCCCACTCTATTTCCAGCGATGAGCACAACATCTGACACATAGAACATGCCTGGTAAGTATTTGCAGAATGAATGAATGAGATACTCAAGTGTTCGGGGTACCTTTATAAAAAGGCCCATGCTTCTTTTTCCTGTTAGTTTTCCAGGGTGTGGCTAAAGGATGGAAAGCAGCATGAGGATGCAGGGAAGACAACAGGGACACAATGGGCTAAGATGTCACAGAAAGCAACCTCAACGCTTGTCCTGACCTACTTGCAGAAACATGAAAGAATCGGTTAAAATGTTCTCTTTACCTAGAGGCCCCACTTAAGATTGAATGTTTGTGCCCCACCCTCACCCCAAACTCATATGTTGAAATCCTAACCCCTGTGTAATAGTGTTAAGAAGTGGGGCCTTTGATAGGTGATTAAGTCATGATGGCAGAGCACTGGGAAATGAGATTAGTGCCTTTATAAAAAAGGAGATTCCAGAAAAGCCCCTCACCACCCTTCTACCATGTGAGGACACAGCAAACAGAAGGCATTCTATGAACCAGGAAGCAGGCCTGCATAAATTCTCCAGGGCCTTGATCTTGGACTTCCCAGTTTCCAGCACTGTGAGAAATAAATTGTCTGTTGTTTAAGTCACCCAGTCTAAAATATTTTTGTCACAGAAGCTGGAGAGAACTAAGACAGCCCCCAGACTGGCTCCTAGCACTTCTCTTCCATTACTGCCCTACAGAAACAGAGCAAAAGAGAGAAAGCCTTGATAAACATCATTTTCCTTTTCATCTCAGTAAACTTCAATTCAGACATATAAAACAACGTTACTTAAATCTATATCGATGTATTCTGCAAGTATAGTATGGTAGCAAATTACAGTTTATAAAATCAATTATTCATTCCCTATCCGATGGGAGGCCTAGATTTCTTAGGAGATTAATAATCTAAAGAAGATAAAGTAATAGTGAATCCAACTGAAGAGCATGCTAATGAACTGATATAAACCACCCCAACTGCTTTAGGAAAACAGAATGCACCGCTCACTTGAAGGGGTCGTAGATAAGCCAAAGACTTCTTCCACCACTGCCCATCACTGACGGCCTGCAGCACCGCCTTGGTGGTGGTGGTGGTGTTGGAGAGGACTTTCATGGTGGTAGCGGTGGTCCAGTGGAACAGGTCGGCTGAGTTGCTGCCTGGGACACATATTTCATCCTACGTTTAAAATAAAAAAAGAGAGAAAATGGCAAGAGTGAAAAGAAGAGAATAGACCAAAGAGTGATAAGGAGACTGATTGGAGTTATCAGACATGAAATTAAACAGATTTAAAAACCCATCTTTACCAATAACAACAACAACAACAACAACAAAAATGTGAAAGCAATATTAGCATACTGTACTCCTTGAATCATTTACAAAAGAAAATTCAGTAAAGGAAAATACATCTTAATGCATTAGTCACAGAATCTCTTTCCAAAGTACTTACAAAGCAAATAGTGGGTTCTTAATTTTTTTTTTACTAATCTAATATCCTCTGATGAGATACTCATGTTTGTTTCTTTGACATTTTAAACTATTTATGGTTTAGATTAAGAAATAAAATTATTCACTTCAACAATGCTACTGTGACCCAGACAAAGGTAGAAGATTCTGATGATCCACCTTTACATACTGAAAGGCATTTTGTTTTTCATCTAAACAAGTGGATGAATAATAGCATTTAAAAGGTTTCTAATGTGGTACCTCCTGCCAATCTCGAAGCAATCAGCCACAATTCCAACTCCCCATGTACTAACCCAAGAAGTTTCATGGGGAGAAAAATGCCAATATATTGACATTTGTTTAAATAGAAATGACAGTGACCACAGCTGCTTTTGATCAAAGAAAGGTAAATTTGTTCTATGAAAACCCAGCCTTTGGTTTAGTATCTATTTCTACTTACCTTTTCTGTAGTATTCCAGTAAAAGGAAAGAAAAATTAAGGTCTACTCTTGCAATTTGAACAACTTTCTTGCCACTAATAGAAGGAGAGTTTAGTTTGGCTATTTGGGTCTACATCACATCATTCATTAATGTGTTATTCGAGTAATAAAAAAAATGATAAGTCATGGAACCACTCAATAATTACCAAGATATCATCACAACACACACTTAGGAGAAATTCACCATTTTAGACCAACTTGACAGTCTCCATATATGGTGGGTAGAATTATGGCCCCCTAAAATACCTGCATCCTAATCCCTAGGACCTGCAAATGTATTACATTAGATGGCGAAAGACCTTGGCAGATATGATTAAGGACACAAACCTTGAGGTGAGAAGAAAAATCCTGAATTATCTGAGCGGAACTAACCTAATCACATGAGCCTTTTAAGCAGAGAACCCTTCCCAGCTAGGGTCACAGAGAGATGCCCTGGGAGAAGAGGCAGGAGAGACGTGAAGCACATCATTGCTGGCTTTGGAAATGGAGAGAGGCAGACAAGAGTTAAAGAATGTGAGAAGCATCTTGAAGGTGAAAAGAAACTGGAGGTGACAGACAGCAAGGCAATGAGTACCTCAGTCCTGCAAACACAAGGAATTAAATTCTGTCAACAACATGAATTAGAGAAGGGAATGGCAACCCACTCCAGTATTCTTGCTTAGAGAATTCCACGGACACAGGAGCCTGGAGGGTTACAGCCCATGGGGTCGCAAAGAATCGGACATGACTGAGCAACTAACACTACTAACAACATGAATGAGCACGGATTCTCCTCCAGAGCCTCCAGAAAACACAGTCCTGTGGGCACCCTGACTTTGGCTGAGATCCTAAGCAGAAATCCACCCAAACCTGCCAGGTTTCTGTCCTATGGGAATTATAAGAACTTGCATTGTTTCAAAGCTGCTAAATGAGAGTAATATGTCATAGCAGTAAAAGAAAATGATTACATGTTGTTGCTATACTTATAATTTCTAGAAAACCATTTTAATTTTATTCTTAGTACTAAAATGAAATGTATTTAAGCTGCATTAACTGATACTTACAATTCCCTCACTGGGCAGTTGGTTAACTTTTCTGAAAAGATTTTCTATTCTTTTATGAGGAAAAAAAAAGCTGTGTCCCAACACTAGAAGAAATGATGATTACGTGATGCAACAAAGGTGTCAGTTAACACTACAATGGCAAATATATTAAAAAATGTATCAATATATTATGTACCTTAAACTTACATAGTGTAATATGTCAAATATATCTTAATTTTCTAAAAAAAAATTTAAACTTGTGTTTCCTATAAGCTTTCTGGACTTTGAGAGAGGTATGAACTATCAACTCAATGCACTATAAATTATAATTATGAAAACAACAGAGATGATATGCTAAGGAAGAAAATACTCATGTTAAACTGACTGTATATAAGGGCAAACATGTCAAAAAAAACTGCTAGGGGTTTAGGTGCCCAAAAAAGATGCGCACTTCTGCTGGATTTCAGGTTCTGCAGCAGATACTGCAGCCTGCTTCACTCACTCGGCTCCGGACGCCCCCCAGGCTGTGCTGCTAGAAGCTGAGAAGCTAAAGACTACATTTCCCAGACGCCCTAGGGCTGACATTCCTCACACACCTAGTTTTCCTCAAACAGATGCACCCATTGTGTAGAATATGCACAGTGAAACTACAGTAGAGACTGTACTTTTGTTATTACTGTGCTTTACTTGTGGAAAATATACTTTTTTTTTTCCTTTTTCCATTTTTTCTGGTCATCCTAGTTGCTCTTCTGCAGTAGGGGTGATACAAGTACCAGTGCCCAGACCCTAGCTTCACAGTAAAGGACCGTGTGGACTACCATTCTGCTGGCTTGTTATCCTGGCAGGGTCCGTGCAACATCGGAGACAGTTGAAAAGGAGGGGCTTGCGAATTCCCCAACTTCTTGTGGCAGATTTCTGCTCCCGCAGCAGTTAACCTCCTCAGTATTGTTCTTATAGTTACTCTAAAAATACACCAAAGCCTGCTTCTCCAGACCTTTGAATGATTGTGTAAGACTCCAATTCTCATTAAAATTTTTAAAAAGTCCCCTTCTGCTTATAAAAGCTAGAATGTTTTCTGTTGCTTACAGCTGAACACTGATTGATTTTTTTAAAAAAAGAAAGTATATTTTTGATCTGAAAGATCAACAACATCATTTTTATTCTGCAGTAGATGGTGACTTTGGCTTAAATCTCCAGCCACAATGAGGCTAAAATCTTTTTGCGAGTCTACATCTTGGGAGTCACTTTTCCAAGGAGGAGATGAGTCTACAGAACAGATATCTGAGCAAAATAATCATAGCAGCCCAGTGGTGGAAGATGGAGTCAAACGAACTTCCAGAACTGCCCAAACCTGTGCTGTCCAACCTGGCAGCCAGCAGATATACGGGGTGACTGCACTCTGGAAATGCAGTTGCTCCGAACAGGGGTATGCTGTCAGTGTAAAACACACTGGATTGTAAAGACTTAGTGCATAAATGAACAAGTAAATAAACTAGCCCACATGTGTTTAACCGCAAGGAACAAAACCAGAACTGAATGTACCCTTTCTGGGCTTCCTAGGTAACACTAGTGGTAAAGAACTGACCTGCCAATGCAGGAGACCTAAGAGATATGGGTTCAATCCCTGGGTCGGAAAGATGCCCTGGTGGAGGGTGTGGAAACCCACTCCAGTATTCTTGCCTGGAGAATCCCATAAACAGAGGAGCCTGGCAGGCTACAGGCCATGGGGTCGCAAAGAGTCAGACACGACTGAGCCAGTGAAGCGACCTAGCACACATGCATGCATGTACCCTTTCTACTGACAGGCAAAATCAAGAGGAAACCCAGGGAGGCTAAAGCTTACATTCTCAGTTCTTCTCAATTTCAGCAATTAGGAAAGTCAGTTCTTTGCATGCCTCTCTCTGCATGCCTGTGGCGGCTGGAGGGAGGGGTTAAGGAGACAGAATGGAAGACTGAAGCTCATTATTAACACATCTGAAAAGGCAAGTAGAAAGACCAACATAGAAAAAAACACAAATCTCCCTCCAAGAGTAATCAGCATGATAGCTGCCACGTCATGAAAGCTTGAAATGTGTCAGGGCTTTCCAAGGCCCGTTATGTGTATAATGGGCATAAACACTGCATACACACACACACACAGTTGTTTCAATGGCAGCATTACTAGAAGTCTTTCCTTAATTTCTTCACTATTTGAGAAGACGGCAGGAGGCTCATTTCTTCTTCACTTTGGTATAGCACAATTGGCTCATCACATCAGACTTAACAGAAGGAAAAAAAGCTGAGTCCGGCTCCTGCACTCCACAGGCTCCTCTTTTCTAACAGGGTCAGGACCCCGGCCAAGAAGCTTCCACTATTAGGCAGTAATGTAGATGGTACTGCTAACCCCCTCCCTGCATCGTGGGGGCAGGGCCTGCTTACCCTGGACAGCTCGTCATTGAGTGTGTTCATCTATCTGGGCTACTGAAAGCTTTGAATTCAAGTACATTCTGCTTCTAAGCTTTTGCCCTCAGTAACTCTGCATTGAGTAGAACTAGTACTATATAGACACACACACACACACACACACACACACACACACACACACACACACACACACACACACACACACATATCCCTCTCTGAATAACACTGCCAGAAAAAGCTCTTTGTCAGAAATAAATCTCAGAAGGAATTTGCAGTAACTAGACATTCTCTCTCTCTCCTTCCCTCTCTCTATGTATGTGCGTGTATATATATATATAGACACAGAGATATAGATATAAATATGTGTGTACATATATAAGTATACATTATAGTAAGCATCTCAATTTATGTTAGATTTTATACCTGAAAAAAAAAAACCAGAAACCAATCAGAATTCATTCCCCTATTCAGCAAATAGTTACTCACTGAATGACTCCTATTTGTTGTCACACTGTATTATATTAGTCAATAAGGTGATAAAAACAAGAAGGACACAGCCTCTGCCCTTGGGAGCCTCTGAGCTCCAGAAACTACAAAGGGAGGCAGAGATACAGACAAATCACTATGTCCTCTGCCTAGAGGTGCCATCATAGAAAGCATCACAGAAGAAGTAATATTTCAGCAGGAAAGAATTTCAGGCTTCTGAAGAAGAAATGGTGATGATTTCAGGTTGTTTAGTCACTTAAGTTGTGCCCCACTCTTTGTGACCCCATGGACTATACCCCGCCAGGCTCCTCTGTCCAAGGGATTTCCCAAGCAAGAATATTGGAGTGGGCTGCCATTTCCTTCTGCAGGGGGATCTTCCCAACCCAGGGATCAAACCTGTGTCTCCCGCATTGGTAGGTGGATTATTTACCACTGAGCTACCAGAGAAGCCCCCGTGATTTCAGGTGAAAAGTGAAAGCAAAATTCGCTCAGTCGTGTCCTACTCTTTGCGACCCCATGGTCTTTACAATCCATGGAATCCTCCAGGCCAGAATACTGGAGTGGGTAGCCTTTCCTTCCTCCAGGGGATCTTCCTGGTAGACTTAGAGAAATAAGAGACATGAAACAACATGGAATACTGGAGGAAACTTGAGTTGATTCAAAGAATATACAGAAAAGAATACACAAAGATGAAGGTCAGGACACATGAAGATCAAAGGTAGGCAGAGGCAAGACCAGCAAGAGACCTACTGGGCACACCAAAGCACCTCCATCATCACCTGAACATGACACCCCTGAGAGGCTTTAAACAAAAGGAGTTAACATAACGAGATGTGTTTCAGAAATCTTATCCCAGGAGCAGGAATCCACTAGGAGATTGGTGAATTAGTCCAAATTTAAAATAATCAGGGATTCGGGGAATTCCCTGATGGTCCAGAAGTTAGGACTCTGTGCTTTCACCGCCTAGGGCCTGGATTTAATCCTTGGTCATGAGGCAGGAGGCAGATGGGACTACCCCCCACCGCCCAACCAAGGGTAAAGTAATTGGAGATTCATTCTCTACTGATGGAAATTCCAAGACAAAAAGCAGGGGAATAAAGGGAGGAGGCTGGATCCTGCACAGAACACACATTTCTCATTCTTGAAATCAGAAGACCTCCCTGACCACATGTGGGCAGAAAAGGCTCCTTGGAGGCCAAAGGGGAGTCATGTCATGGGATATTCCTAGAATCCATCTTGGTAAAGAGATGCAGGTACCCACATGGGAGGATCCCGAGATAAACCAAGTAAGGACTGTGAAGCAGGCAAATCACAATGACTGGCCAAAGGAAACCCGGAAGAAATGCCCCCATGAAAGTAATTCAAACTACTATAAAGGCATGACTCAGCAACTCAGGGACTCTGTCTCTGAGTCTGCCTGTGTCTATCCACAGGTAATGTACTCTTTTTACTCCTAATAAATACTTTACTTGCTTCACTACCTTCTGTCTTTGTGGCAATTCTTTTCTGCAAAGCCGAAGCGTCAGGGCCCTTGACACTGACCATTGGCTTAGTGGCTAGGACCTGGTGGTTTTACCACTGCAACCTAGCCCATCTCTGCCTGGGAACCCAAGCCCTGTTCCAAGCAGCTGCAGCCCGAGGCCACCCAAGATCAGTTTAGGGAACCAAGATCCTGCAAGCTGCCTTGCGTGGCCAAAAAAAAGAAAAAAAAAAATTAAAAAGATAAAATAATCGGGAACTGAATTAAGGCAGTGATACTGGGACTAGAAGAGTTGACTCGTTGGAAAAGATCCTCATGCTGGGAGGGATTGGGGGCAGGAGGAGAAGGGGACGACAGAGGATGAGATGGCTGGATAGCATCACCAACTCGATGGGCATGAGTTTGAGTAAACTCCGGGAGTTTGTGATGGACAGGGAGGCCTGGCATGCTGCAATTCATGGAGTCACAAAGAGTCAGACATGACTGAGTGACTGAACTGAACTGAACTGGGACTAGAAGAGGTTTCCATTAGGTATATTTGAATCTGAAATGCATTTTTAAGTTTAAATGCTTTTATTCGTTTCTTCTAAAGATGAAAAGGGACTGAGGTAAGTCAGACAAACAGAGAAATTCAAGGATTCTGGATCCAACCATAAAAAAAGAAAGTGGACGATCTTCAAGTGCCTGTTCAAATCTTCTGCCCATTCTTCTGTTGGTTGTCTGTCTTATTCATTTGCAGTTTTTTGGTTTTTCTTTGTATATTTTGGATACATAGCCCTTATTAGATATATGAATTATGAACATTTTGTATTATTCTGCAGATTATATTTTATTATCTTAATGATGTCTTGATTAAAAGAAGTTTTTACACTTCTGAATTAGTTCAATTTATCAGCTTTTAAACTTATTTATAATTAGTATTTTTTTTGTATGAAGTCTTTTCCTGCTCCAAGATCACAAAAAAATTCTATATCTTCCTTGAAATGTGGTATATTTGCTGTCAGTAAAATCCTGTCAAGAAGATACTCTTCTCCTTCTCACTCATCATATTACATGCCTATTTTTAATGTACTTGCCATAATTATGATTTTTCTGTCTTCTCAACTAGACAGTAGCTTTTCAAGGGCAGAGACAATGTTTGTTGATTACTACATGCTCAGGGTATAGGAAAATTACTGAAGTATAGCTTGTACTGTAGATATGAATAAGAAGTCTGATTTTACTGTACCTATGCTTGAAGAAACATTTTCTAAATCTAATATGTTATGCCTACAGCAACTAACTGTTATTCAGGTAAGATTTCATGTCACATTTTCAATTTTGGTTCATCTTTAGAATCTCCTTACTCGAGAGAGTTATGGAATGATTTGAATGTTATCAACTAATCCAAGTATAGAAACTAAAAAATATAAACATGATAAGAAATATGGCACTTAAGTATGAAATAACTTCATTCAGGGGAAAATCAAATTCACTGAAAAATATCAACAAATATAGGCTATAAGACAATTATACCATTTCATAAAATAAACCTAAATTTTACTCTGTTCATATGGATTGGCTAACTCAATATAAAAAACTTAAACATCTAAAACGGAAAAGTAAATGAAATTTCAATGCACAGAAATGTACATGACAAAAGGATTTTCTGTAAGAGATCCCTCCTTTATAAGAATTACAAAAGAGAAAGCAAAATAAAAGGCTCACTTAGACTGCAGAAGAAGCATTTAATTGGGGGGCAGTCTACCAAGATTATAGTGTAACCAGAGCCATTAATGAGGAAAATACTTTTATTTCAACTTCATGTAATAGGGAAAGAAAAAAGAGGTTAGGAAAATTTACTCCTGAAATGATTACTACTGGCAGTTTTTATATTCACAGTCGCATATTGCTAATTAATTTACAGCGTATAACAGCAGAAATAGATTAATCTCCCAAACCAAGTCAACAACTCCCAGCATAAAATTTAACATGAAATCTCATTAGCATCAAGTGTTACATAGCTCAAAGGTTAACTTCATAGGCACTAGTAATATTTTTCAAGTCCTACAATAGACAACATTACCAAACAGGTTCACAAGAACAAGAACAGTTCCACATGTCAAGTTTGGCTTACAGAAACAATTCTTGTTCATCAATTACTATAGTTAACCTACGCAGGAGTTGCTTTCTCTGGTGTCTGGTATTGTTGTTGTTCACTCAGCCGACAAGTCATGTCCGGCTCTTTGTGACTCATGGACTACAGCATGCCAGGACTCCCTATCCCTCTGGTGTCTGGTAAGCTGAGGGTTAATTTCTAAGAAACTGGTCTGTCAAGTACAAACTGAGCTGACGGTACCCAGAGACTAAGGATCACAAACAGCTCAAACTGAGCTAAGCCACTACCCTTTCTCTTCCAACATATCTTTAAATAATCAAAAGTACTTTCCTTCACCTAACATTTCATCATGTCATGTCATGCATGCATGTGCTCAGTCATGTCTGAACTACAAC